TTTTTTCTTCATTTGCATATATATATACTATTATTACAATAACGATACACAATTTCGAAGATACAAAATTTACACTTGCATTAGTCGTGTGTTGTATTTCTTGCGCCGACTCTTGCTGCTGTTCGGTCTGTGTGTGTGTGTGTGTGTGTGCGTGTATGTTTATGTGTGAGTGTGGATTCCTCGTGTCCGCCGTGACTAAATTATGAAGCTAACATTCGTGCGATCTGGCGATCGCGTCGTCGACAATCGACTTCTCTCTCTCTCTTTCGCCAAAGGCTTCGTATATAATTTACGAGTTTACCCTATGCGCTTTTATTACACTTACATGAACTATCACTAACCGGTACGACACACACAGAACGGTGCTGGACCAATGGACGCCGACGGTGAACAGGTATAGAGAAAAGGTATGTATATTCGAAAATCTTAAAAAAAAAAAAAAAGTAGAAGAAAACTCGATCTCGGAGACTACCGGGCGATGAAACCGCGATCGAGATATCGCAAGAAGGCGTTTCAATTCCTAGGAAAGCGAATTATGTTTCTGGGCTGATCGATTCTTCTTGGACCGATTTTCGCCCGTGTATCGTCAATGTTCCCGAATTATTGCTGCTCGCATTTACTAAAAGACGCGTTCTCCAACAGTATCCGAAAAAAGAATAAAGATATATCGATTCATTAACACAATCTTGGCGTGCAATAAAAAGTGGTTGCTCTTAAAAAAAAAAAAAAGGAAAAAGGGAACGTTTTAACGTTCTCTTTGTTCCAAGAGATCGTACGGAGGATATAGAGCGAATTAACGTTCGTCATTCCGATTGAAGTTTCGAGCACGACAAGGGAAATGCTCCGATGAATTTAAAATTCATGATCAATCGAGAATCTTCGCGAAACGTCCAAACGATCCCGCACCGCGAGTTACACGAACTCTCATTTTCGTTTAATAAAATTTCCTTTCTCTCTCTCTCTCTTTCTCCCCCGAAATTGCACGATGTCGCGCGTCGATTCCCATGCAAAGCGTGCCGCGCGCCTGCAGCGAGCGAGCGAGCTCGTCGCGGCTCTCCCCGGGATCGATTCTAAGGGTGAAGCGTGGATCTTTCACGCGAGAAGGACCAAGTTCCGCGCGACAGTCCGGCATCCCCGATCGCTCGCCTAGAATATATCCAAGCGAGGAGAGCCAGCTTCAAAAAGGATCAGGTCATCGCATATACACGCGCGCACTCACCCGACCTTTCGTCACACGCACACGCTCGCATGCGCATAATATATATATAATATATATATATATAATAAATTCTTGTATCTATGTAATATTTATTTACACACGCTTTATATATCATACATATATATATGATATATAAGACTCGATACAGTAGCTGATTTTTTTCCTTTGTACTTGGGGCCGGGGCTCGATGGCCCTAACACATGAAACTTTACATATTTACAAGAGCTTTCACTTTTATAAGAGAGATCCAACGGACGCGCTGCTCTTACGGACGTGCCCCCGCGAGGACGTCGTGAGCCCTGGATACTTGTCTCGCGGGGATGTTCTTTTTTTTTTTCTCCCCGTGTCGCCGGTGATCGATTGTATCGCCCGCGTGCGAGAAAGAGAAGAGGAGCGTTTATATATCTATTTTTTTCGTTTCTCTTTTCTTTTTCTCCCCCTTTACGCGTTTTACAACGTTACGAGACAGTGGTGGGCTGCGTCCTCCTGAGCTGCTTAGTCACTCGCGATTCATGTGTACTCCGATCGCCAGCCGGTCTGAAACCAGACAAAGATTACCACACTCCTGATGTGCTCTGCTGCTCCACTTGTCGGCCGCGAGAGTGAAGGCTCTCCTTTCGCGGCGTCCGCCGCGACGCGATTAATATGAGAAAAAAAGAGATGGAAAAAGAGGCGGGAAAACGCCGCACAAGATGCGTAATAAATACATATGTATATGTTAAAATTAATATTAAAATTATTAAATAAATTTGATTTAATTAAATATTCAATTAAAATGTCATATGATTATTAAATATAAATTAAAGATTTTGTCGAACAAAATAAGAAACCTATAAATTTCTCATTAAATTTGATTGAAATTATAAATCTAAACGTTCAAGTTATTACAAAGTCAACTTTATTAAGTTCGGTTTACGATCCGAAGAAAGGAGGAGGTGAAGGAGGGGGAGATCAACAAATTCCGCTAAATAAATCGATTATCGGCGGCCGAGGCCTTTGGTCGATCGCGCCGATGAGGGTAATAGATCGCGCACTCACCATCGCGTTCGTCGTAGCCAGCTGCAGACCCTGAAGACTCGTCATGTGATGAGAATGGGAATGCGAATGCGAATGCGGGTGGATGGGGGGCGGCGCCGGTGGCGCAAATCCCTGATGAAGACCTCCGGCCACGCCGACACCCGTGTGATACATGTAATGCTGCATCGCCGGATGCATCGTGTGATGATGCTGGGACGTACCTGGAACGATAACGCGAGAAACGTCGCTCTATTAATACTTTTTCGCGTAAGAAATTTCGAGAGAAAGACGTTTGTTCGATTTTTTTAGTTTATACAAATGAAATAAAATCGCGAAAAATGTTCTGCAAATACTTGTATCAGTTGTGACGTTGTCAATCTTGATTAAAAGTTTTTCACCGATTATTCTCGAGAGATTTGAAGTATCTTATAGAGTTATATACCTATATTTATAACGGGGAATTATTTGACGTTTCCTCGTTTTGAATACAACAGATTTGAGATAGATAAAGTTCCAAGCTTTTGGGGAGAATTTGACTTACCCATCGGCGCACCGAATCCGGAGTGGAAGGGTTTGTTATCGAGATCGAGGTGTCCACTGGCCTTGATCATGTCGCCCATGACACCGCCGAGGCCCAGACAGCCGCCGGCCTTCTTCTTCTTGCTCTTTGACGAGAGCTTCCTGTTTCTCGTCTGGATGCCCTCCTTCTTCATCGTCAATGGCCGGTTCACCTGGAACAGTCGTAGACAACAATCCGGTAAGTTTAGAATTATTAATTCTAAAAGCGAGTTTGTCGCACGCACGAATATTTCGCACATAACGCACACAATATTGATTCGTTATAATAAGGAAATAGAAAAAGCGAAATATATAAGTGCGGAAATTTAATAATTACGATAATTACGATTAATAATTAATTTAATAATTCTCGCAAGAGATAGTTTTTATTACAATGAAGAAAGAGGACGAGGTGTTTATGAGCGACAAATTACGAGCCGTGTTGATGTGGAACGTGAAAAATCAAGGATAAACTGAAATCACTGACGCGAACAATGCGGTGATGTAATACAATGAGGAGGGGGAGGGGGAGAAAAAAGAAGGGAAGAGGTATCGTCGGAAGACGTTATTCAGCAGAGTGCAACGCGATGCATTCTCTATTCGCTCCATCGTAAATCATCGCGCGTTGCAATGTTCGACGGGGAAATACACTCGCTTCTTCTTTATTCTAGACTTCAATCTGCGATTTTTCTCACTTTCTCTCTCTCTCTCCCCGCGATGTTACATTCAGATTCTCGTATACTTTTGTGCTACCCCATCGTGTTAAATCAATTCTCATTGCGCGAAAGCGTGTTTCTCCATCTGTCGCGCGCGAATCCATTTTTCTTATAATAATGGATTTAAGGAAAAGCTGCTTAATCGAATCGGATCTCTTGAAAAGCGAGAATAAGATTCTCTCTTCTTTGTCTTCGCAAGGTGAACATTGTATATATAGAAATAGATTGTTGGAAAGAGAATGATTCTTTCTTTTGTGTCCAGGATTAAATCAAGATTCACCAAATTTTCGCAAGCACATGTGTTGGATAATTAACGCGCCGGACGTAATTAAGAGTTATTTACATTCGCTGGCCACTTTATTATTCCTCGAACCGAGCCAATTTGCATGAAAATGCGCGCCAATTGCGAAAATTGCAAATTTCTGTTTCACGGAAATCCATATTGCTAGCGAATAAATTAATAAATGCCGATAAATAATGAGACGTTACAGGATCTTGTAATTCGCAAAGATTTTTCACAAATTTTGCCATTGGCAAAGTCACGATGATAATAATGTAAAATGTAAGCATTGAATACACGCATATTTTTTCGTTTATTATCCAAATAGTGCGAATATAAATATCAGCGAGACGTGCAAGAGATGCGATGCGAGTACGTCGCCGACGCAATTTCGCCGGCTTACCAGACGAGAACGCAATTAAGGAATCCCTCAGATTCTCGGTAGTCTCTGGAAGCCGGTGCAATTAACGAATCGACAATCGTCCTCGAGAGCAATTCGCGAGATACTACGTCATCGGCGCGCTTCTCGCTCGCAGAACAAGAAGCGAGTATCGCGGTATTATTTCTCGCTAGGAAAAAGAGAAGAGAGGGAGACTTTTTTTTACTTTGATCGGAATTAACGTTAATACGTCTGCTAAAAATAAACGCTCGGGACTCGGCGCGAATGATTCGGGACTTTGACTTAAGAGCGGGACTTGATCGGCTTGTTTCGCCGGCGCAGCATCATCGTAACAGTGTAATCTCGAGGGAAAATTAATCGGGGCGAGGCAAACTGCGTTATAGCATTGTTTTCTCACTGGCGCGAAAAAAGACAGCATTGTCTCACTTGACGCTTGAAAAGACGGAAGTCGCATCTGCTGGCGGTGTCTTACAAGACAAAAATCGTTCTACAGAAGGCGTAACAAGCGCCAATGTTCGAGAGAGGAAGTCCGGTGCGCGCGGGCGTATCTTTATTATTTAAGACAGCGACAGACGGAAGGAGAGCTGCTTGTATCTCGATAACTAGAAAGGTATGAAATGATCGTGTGTATTCGCCAAGTCTATAGGATAAATCTTCGTAAAGAGACGCTTCGCGAAGAAACCGTCGACAAACGCCTACTCGAACGATGGCTTAATTAATTCAACTCACCCTGTATAACGGCGAGACGCGCGCTCATGAAATGCTCGGGCACGAAATAAGTATGGTATGCAAGTGTTGTGTGTTGCATCGGACCGAAGGGGGGGGGGGGGGGAAGAATCGCGGCGCTTTTGTAGTCGCCGCGACGTGACGCAACTGCCAACTTGGGAGAAAAGATTCCCGGTATTGCGCTGGACGCAAAGGAGGTGCATGTGTGTATGTATGTGTATGTATGTGTATGTGTAAAGGCGCATCATCCTCCCTCCTCCCCGCTTCTCTGTCCGCCCCCGGGCGCGATTTTTTTTCGCTCGTCTCACCCTGAACTCGTCCAGACGGTCAACGACTCTTTTCGGAATTACGCAATTGGTCGAAATTTGCCGAATTAACGCTCGCTCCCTTTCTTAGGGCGAAATGCGCGGCGACTCTCTGTGAACCGCATCTTATTCCCGGACGTCGTTCTACACCGACACGGTATACGAGATTAGGTTCTGCCGTCGCGTAAGACAGAGATCAACGAGATCTCATGTCTTTCTATGAGAAAGTATCATAATCGAAGCTTCAAATGCGGCTATCGCTTTACATAAGCACACAGTTTGCAAATTGTAATTTTTATATATCGTCTGGATTATTATATATTATACGAAATATATGCGGAAAATTTTCGTAAACCGAGTAAGAATATCAAGTACCGACTATCCGTTAATGGGCCTTTTAATAAGCGACAACTTGTAACAGAGAGAACAACCGGAAAGAGAGCGATGCGAAGGTGGAGGAAGAACGCGAAAGCTCGAACCAATTTGAATACAATACGAGCGGGATTTAATAGGGAACCACCGGAGATCGGTGGGAGAGTCCGCGGGTGTCCGAAAGCGCGAGGTGCAAACAAAAGAGACGAGGCCGCGTATAAAAGAAAAAGA